AATGAAGCTTCTCTGCGAAGAACAAAATTTAACATCTGTAGTACTTGATGAAGCTATGGAGAAGTTAGGAAAGCAGCTAAGTCTGTGAATTCATGAATTGATAGCCAGTAAAGCATAACAAGCAGCAGTGTTATGAAGAAAACCAAAAACATATTAGCCAGCAGTAGAAAGAAGTGAACTCATCGCCCCTAGTGCTGACTGGCTTACATGTTTCAAAAGGTGATATGGTGTGAAAAATGTTAAAACTGGTTATGCAGGTTCTATAGATCAGGAATCTTCAGGGGAAAAGAGTCAAAAATACTTGGTGAGTGGTGTACAAGGAAAAGGATTTTATAGGATAACAGGTTTTCAGTGCCAGCAACTGACTTGCTTGACAAAAACATTGGCAGACAAACCTCTATGACAAAAATGCCCCTCAAAGCCTGTGGCTTGAATTGTTCAGAGACCATGCAATCATTTTTAAGAAATACATGCTAAGGTGTCTAAACAGAAACCCACATAAAACAAGATTATGCATTGATTAGTTGCTGAAACTGTGATCAGAGGCTTGCTGGACCCTAACCCTGTATTTCCTGGAGGAGTAATGGTTCTTTATTCACCAACTCAGGGTTTGTAGCACCTTTATAGTGCAGTTACCATGAGTAATGAGAAGTGACTGTAAACATATAAAAACTGATGCCTATAAGCATATATTTTAGAATATTATTGATGTAGTTATTAAAATTTCTACATTCTTTCTGTATGTTTGTTTATTCAAGTGTGTATTTCCCTAGAAGAATATAATAAAATTGCAAATACATTTTTCATTATAGCTTTTCACATATTCTGCAGTTGTATAAAACTTAAACATTTTTTGATCTATTTATTTTTACTGTATGTGTATGAGTATTTTACCTACCTGTATGTCAGTGCACCTATGCCGTGCAATGCCCACGGAGGCCAGAAGAGGGCATCTGATCCCCTGGAACTGGAGTTACGAATAGTTGCTAGCTGCTATGAGGGTGCTGGGAACTCAACCTGAGTCCTCTGCAAAAGTAGCCAGTGCTCTTAACTGCTGAGCCATCTCTCCAGCCTCAATTGTATAATATACACCTAGACTAACTATTCATCTAGTGATGAATTGCTTTCTGGAGTTGATACATTCTTGAGAAATATGTTATTAAGTGGTTTTGTCATGTGAAAATTATAGATTATATAAACTAGGATAGGTGTTATGTCACTAGCCAGTATAATCTTATGGGACCATCATGTATATGCAGTTCATTATTGATCAGAGAATCATTATGTACCACATAACCATATGTATAAAGCAAGCTCTAGCCTACTGCTGTGCTGAACAAAAATAAGTAATTGAAAAAACAAAACTGTACATTGTCTGAAGTTAGGATAATAAATTGGTTTGTTACAGTTTTGTGGATGCTGGTAGGAAATGTAATACTCTTGGGCCAGAGATAAAAAGAGTTTATCACAGCAGTAGGAGGACCCAGAATATCATCATATGACACTTCCCTGAATCCCAGTTCCCATTGGATGATGCGAAGAGACCTAGGAAGTACATGCACTGAACCTGCAGTGTGTTCTGTTATAGGATCGGAATGCTTTCTATATGAGCTTACAGAATCAACTTATTAGTGCAGTAAGTATGCTGTCTTTTCTTGGTGAAAGGAGACCTTTTCTCAAGTTACTTATTTTACAAACATACTTGAGTAGTTTGTTACAAGAGACAGTGAATGCCTCTCCAAATTCATGTAGAATTGAAAAGACTTATGAAGTATTATTCCTCCAGCACTATTTATACTTTGTTTTGTATATACATTGTATATAGTATATATAGTGTATATGGTTTCATTTACATGATTTTAAGACATTTCTGTTATTTTTGTGTTGATAACATTTGGTATGCAGTACTTATTTACAGGCTGGGTATATAGCTCAGTTGATAGAGTACTAGCCTAGCATGCAGGAAGGCCTGAGTTTGATCCCAACCTCTGCATAAACCAAGTGTGGTGCATACCTGTAATTCTAGCTCTAGGGTGGTAGAGGCAGGAGGTCAGAAGTTGAAGATCATCTTTGGTTACATAGCAAGTTTCAAGGCTACTCTGGGATCAATAAGGCCCCATCTAAAAACCAAAACAGAAAAAAACTAATGTATTAGATACTGATTTTTACTTATATAAAATATTTTCAATACTTCTAGTGTTATGCGTTACAAATACATTCATGTGACTTTTACTTACTATAGTTACCAACAGGCGTACATTCTATAAAATACCATAAAATGATTGCAGTTATACAAACCTAGATAGTATAGCATACCACACACCTAGGTCAAGTAGTTATCTAGTCATGAATTGCTTACTGGTAGTGATACATTCTGAGAAATATGTTATTAAGTGGTTTTGTCATGTGGAAATTATAGATTATATAAACTAAAATAGGTGCGATGTCACTAGCCAGTGTAATCTTAATGGGACCATTGTGCATGTACAGTTCATTATTGATCAGAGCATCATTATGTACCATATAACTATATGTATAAGCAAGCTATAGCCTACTGCTGTGCTGAACAAAAATCATGAGATTAAATCATGTACAAGAGAAAAATTATAAAATCAAGAGAAGCAATAACCACTGAATTGGATTAGGTTACTACTAGCCTACCATCAGTTTTACAGCTAAGTTTTTTTTAATAGAAGGACATTCTGAAATAATGATAAAAACTATATTATAGTAAATTCATAAGCCAGTATAGTCATCATTAATCAAGTCTTATGTACTATCTATCACCATTGAACCATAGGCATCACACTAGGCATATTTATACCATCATCGTCATAGACACCAGAATAATGCTTTGTGCTTGTGCTCTTAAAATGACTGCAGTATCATCAGATAATAATTTTTCAGCTCTATTACAATTTGATGGGATTACCATAGGATATGTGATCTGTTGTGGATCAAGATGGGGTTGGGTTCATGATTGTGTTAATTGTTTGTATGCATACTGCTATACACATATTTTTGTGTTCATTACTTATTTTGTTGGGGTAGGACCTGGGTAGGCTCACAGGCTGATTCTAGATTGCCTCCTCTATCCCATCAGCTCTGTGGAGGTGGTATGTAGGTGGCATGCCATTGGCACCATCTTAGTACTAACTCATTCTGGTCTGGTTCATCCACAGCCCCACAGGAGACAAGATCCGAAGCAAAGTTGAGCTGACCCGATACTTAGGCCCTGCTTGTGACCTTACCCTCTTCGACTTCAAACAAGGCATTGTATGCTATCCAGCCCCCAAGGTACTTCACAATGTCAGTGCCCAGGAAGGTGCAACTGTGCTGCCTGACACCCTTGCATTAACGCACATTTTTCCTGCCCTGTCTCCAGACTCCTTTGGCTGTCCCCAGCAAGAAGCAAAAGAAGCCTTCCAAACCAGCAAAGGCTCAGAAACCTGCCGTTTCTGAACCACAGAGAAATGAGGCCAGAAAGGAGACTCCTCAGGATGAGATTAAGGCTAGCACTGATGCAGCCCCAGCTTCAGTCCCTGCACCTGGGTAAGTGTGGGCTTAGGGTGAGCCAAGAGGGTGAGGCTTGTGATTGGAGGTGCTCTTAGGACCTCACCCTTGTCTTTCTTATTTCAGGTGCTGTGAGAATTGTGGAATCCGCTTCTCAGGGGATGGTACCAGAAGGCAGCGGCTCAAGACTTTATGCAAAGACTGCCGAGGTAAATAAGCTCCCAGGGGGTAGAGTATTAGGAGACAGGAGCCGGGGCAGACACATGTCAGGCAAAGCTAGAGGTTCTATGGTGCACATTAGGATAGGTGCTATTGGCATACATAGAGAGGTTAAATGCAGCAGCTGAAGCCAAGTGTCTGTTGCTCGCTTTCCACTTTCTCCATTCCTTTTCCTTTTCCAGCACAGAGGATTGCCTTCAACCGTGAGCAGAGAATGTTTAAGGTAAGAGCAGTATTCCTCCTCACTGCCCTGCAATGGAAGCAGGATGTGATGGCACTGATGGAGGGTTTGAGGATTGGTGAGGTGATAGCTCTACAGAGTGTGAAAGCTTTTTATGTTTTATTTTTATTTATTTTTTCATTATTTTTATTTTATGTATATGGGTGTATTGCCTGCATGTATGTTAGTGTATCCGTGTCAAGCAAAGCCTGCAGAAGTCAGAAGAGGGCATCAGATTCTTCTGGAGTTAGAGACAGTTGTTAGCTGCCATGTGGGTGCTGGGAATTGACCCTGGGTCCTAGCAGCCAGTGGTCTTAACTGCTGAGCCATGTCTCCAGCCCCTCATTGTTTTACTTTTTTTATAGGAACCTGGCTATCGGTTAGCATATACAGTAACAGGAATTAATGGGGTATCAGTAGAAATAGGGATGAATTTAACAGGAGATGAGCAGACACAATAGTAGCCTTGATGTTGGCAGCTAATCAGTAATTTATCAGATACAGTGATGAGGCCAATGGAGACTAGTATACATGGTGAGTGGGAGCTGATATCTGGTGAGTAAACACAAGAAGAGCAGTGGTCCTGGCAGCCCCGCCCCTGCCCACACCCCCTAGGCTTTTAATCTTACTCCATCCATTTCTGACAGCGTATTGGCTGTGGAGAGTGTGCAGCCTGCCTGGTAACTGTAGACTGCGGGGCTTGTTCTACCTGCCTCCTGCAACTGCCCCGTGATGTGGCCACAGGGCTATTCTGCAAGTGTGAGCGGAGACGCTGCCTCCGGATTGTGGAGAGGGTGAGTCAGTCAGATGGGGTGGGCCCAAGGCTCACCTCAGTTCCTGGCCTTCATGGCTCTGACCCAATACATCACACCTCCGGCCACCCCTCCCCCCACAGAGCCAAGGGTGTGGAGTGTGCCGGGGCTGTCTGATCCAAGAGGACTGTGGCCATTGCCGAGCCTGCCTTCGCTCTCCCCGCCCTGGTCTCAGGCGTCAGTGGAGGTGTGTGCAGCGACGTTGCCTTTGGGTGAGTCAGGCTGGAGGGGCCCCTGCTATAGGGCCAAGGCTGGGCCAGAACTCATTCTGCTTTTAAGGTTGCCACCACTGCTGCTGTTGCTTACTCCTGATCTAGCTTTGCCTACCTCATGTCCTTCTTTTCTCTTCTGTCCCATGCTCACCTCCCTGGCTCTGCCTACCTGCCTTTCTCTGCCAGCACCTTGTTCATCGTGTCCATGGCCACCCTAAGGGATGTCAGCGGTGCCCTTCTCTGGTTGTGGTCCCCCCTACTGTGAGTGCCTCACTGCACACTCTGCCTGACTGTCCAATGCATGCTTTCTGCACTCCCTTGGGGGAGAGGGAGGAGTCCTGTTTCTGCCTGGTGCCACCAGGCCCTAACCACTCTTTTGACTCCTAGGGTAAACATGGCCGTCATAAGGGGGCCTCCAAGGCTGCTGCCCGACATCGCTCCCAAGCTCAGCCACTGCCTCCACTTCCTCCATCACAGCACCCAGAGCCCACAGAGCTGGTAAGGCCCTGGTGGGCAGGGGGAAGGCACAACCCTACACTTATTAGTACCTGCCCTGATCCCAGCATATTTGCCTCTGCAGCACACCAGCGTCCTAGCGCCCTCATCACCTGCTGAGTTCATCTATTACTGTGTAGACGAGGACGAGCTAGTGAGTGGCCCCACCTTATCTTAATAAACCATGCGTCTTTAACCCTAAAGAAGTAGATGCTGTAATGGAACAAATGGGACAGCAAGGCACAGTAGTGAGTCCTAGGATGGGATGAGCAATAATTGGGGAAGAAATAAGGGATCAGCAGGTACAGTGACAATACCTAACTCAGGTGAACTAACATTAGTGACTAATAGAGGATAGACAGACTGAATGGTGACACTCACAAAGGAGCAGCGAACCGGGTTTGTGTAGGGTAAGTTGACACAACTGGCACAATGATGAGAGCTAACTGATGGAAGTGAGGGTTAAAGACACTGTCTTGGTAGCTAATGTGGTAGCAGCAGGTGCTATGGTGACACTATAGTGGAGTAGCCTCAGTCCTAATGAATGGTATTGAGGGCTAGCTGGCAGTGATGGTGGCTTCTGCAGGTACTGTGATGACACTATAGCGGAGTAGCCTCAGTCCTAATGGTATTGAGGGCTAGCTGGCACAGTGATGGTGGCTTCTGCAGGTGCTGTGATGACACTATAGCGGAGTAGCCTCAGTCCTAATGAATGGTATTGAGGGCTAGCTGGCACAGTGATGGTGGCTTCTGCAGGTGCTGTGATGACACTATAGCGGAGTAGCCTCAGTCCTAATGGTATTGAGGGCTAGCTGGCACAGTGATGGTGGCTTCTGCAGGTGCTGTGATGACACTATAGCGGAGTAGCCTCAGTCCTAATGGTATTGAGGGCTAGCTGGCACAGTGATGGTGGCTTCTGCAGGTGCTGTGATGACCCTATAGCGGAGTAGCCTCAGTCCTAATGGTTGTGAGGGCTATCTGGCACAGTGTGGGTGGTTTTTTTTTTTTTTTTTTTTTTCTTTTTTTTTTCTTTTTTTTTTCCCCCCTTGGGTTTTTTTTTTGGTTTTTTGAGACAGGGTCTCCCTATAGCCCAGATGGCCTGGGAGTCACTATATAGACCAGATGGCCTCGATCTCACAGATATCCTTCTGCCTCTCTGCCTCCCGAGTGCTGGGATTAAAGGTGTATGCCATCACCTCCAGCCAATGATGGCTTATTTTGAAATAACAGATAATGAGGAGAGTTAGCAGGCTGAGCCTAGTGTGTAGCTAGCTCCTCCATGGGGCTAGAGGAGCACCAGGAACATCACTGAAAGGGGTGTTGAGGATGGCCTCTCCTAGTCTTAGTGACAGCACCACCATTCCCCTCCACCCCAGCAGCCCTGCACGAACCGCCGGCAGAACCGCAAGTGCGGGGCCTGTGCAGCCTGCCTACGGCGGATGGACTGTGGCCACTGCGACTTCTGCTGCGACAAGCCCAAATTCGGGGGCAGCAACCAGAAGCGCCAGAAGTGTCGTTGGCGCCAGTGCCTGCAATTTGCCATGGTGGGTGGGGCAGGAAGGGTTAGGTGGATGGGCTAGGTTGGGCCCAGCCCCCCAGTCCTTGGGAGCAGTGGGCAGGCCTGGTAGGTGGGTGGGTGGTATAGTGGCTCTGAAGATTAGGAGACATTCTACTGGGGTAAATGAGTCCAGCTGCTATTGGCATTGATGATGGGAGACTAGCAGGCTCAGTGATGAAGGTTCATGTAAGCAGATTCTGTGCTGGGACTGATGGGAAGTTAGCAGGCACATTGAGTAGGGCAGGGTGGGTATGGTCAGATGGCATCAGTTGGCCGTAGCACCCAATCTTTCCTCACAGAAGCGGTTGCTGCCCAGTGTGGGGTCAGGGTCTGAAGAAAGAGCGGAATCACCTCCACATCACCCTCATCGAAAGAGGCCTGGTTCTGCTCGACGACTCCATTTGGACCCTTCCTTAAAGCCCCCTTTGGCTATGTGCCCAGCCCAGCCAGGCCGTGCCCAAGACCCAGTGAAGCAAGAAGCAAGTGGTGACTTTGTGCTGCCTCCACCTGGCACAGACCTTGTGTTTTTACGGGAGGGTGCCAGCAGCCCTGTGCAGGTGCCAGGCCCTGCTACAACTTCCTCAGAAGCCCAGTTGCAGGTAAGGGTCTCATTTTACCTTCCCTTTTCCAGTCCTACCTGGCCTTGTGCCATGGAGCTAAGACCAAGTCTGCTACCATCCTCCCTTCTTCAGGAGGACCAGTGCTCTGCCCTGAGTTGGGTTGTGGCCTTACCACAGGTGAAGCAAGAGAAGGTGGATGCCCCAGAAGAATGGACAGCAGGCACGGCCGTCCTGACTTCTTCCACGTTGCAGCCTGACTTCCCTAGCAAGGTCAGGGCAGTAATGGGTGTCCTGTGGGTGCCATGTGAGGTGGTCTGTAAACAAAATTATAGTGAGCATGATGGTGGCAATGTGAGCAGAATGATAGGTAGGCTGCTAGTGAGTGTCTGGATTTATCCTGCTTAGCCAGCAAGTGCCTTACTCTCCATGGGCAGCTAACTTTGCCTTCTTTACTGCCCAGCTGACTGGAGACTAGAGATCAGTCAGGAATGGGAAATATTTGCAGGGAGAGAGGTAACATTTCTTAGTGATAGAACTGGGATCTGTCTGCATAGTAGTGCTGGGTTAGCTGATAGAAGACTTTCCTCAGGCCCAGTCCTGTCCTAACTGCTGCCCTTCCTCCTTCTGCTAGGCGGTAGATCCAGGTCTTCTACCCGTGAAACAAGAGCCACCTGACTCTGAGGAGGAAAAGGAAGAGAACAAAGATTATGTCTCTGAATCAGCCCCAGAGGAAGAGGCAGGAGGGCCTGGCATACCTGTGGTCAGTGCTGGAAGATGCCCCACCCTACTCTGACCTTGCCATAACTCCTCCAGCTGTGCTGACCCATGATATTGATTCTTCCCTAGATCACGGAGATTTTCAGCCTGGGTGGAACCCGCTTCCGGGACACAGCGATCTGGTTCCCAAGGTGTGCCCCACACAGGTGTGGGGGTGGGGTGGGTACGGGTCAGATGTGGACACTGACTTTTGAACCTAGACTCAGTAATTCAGTTGACTGCATGAGGTAGATAAAGCCTACATTCATTATGCTGTTCATAGCCAGTGAGGGTATATGTGTGCAGCAGTGTAGAGATAGCTCCTGAGACCCAACCCAGTGGTATTCCACTGCTTTCCTCTTGGGGAAGGAAGAGAAGGACTGGTGCTAAGATTTGGTTTTGAAAAAAAAAAACAAAAAAAAAACAGAGATGAAGAGGGTCTGGGCCCCACCTCCCTAAGAAAAATCCTTCAAAGGTCAGGGTCAATACACACATGCGCATGCACGCGCGCACACACACACACACACACACACACACACACACACACACACATACATATATTCTTACTCAGAAGATCACCATTTGGGATTTTGAGGGCTTTCAAGAGTCTCCAAGAGACCATTATGTGGGCTGTCCCCTGATGATGCAAAGAATGTATACCATACAAGACAAGTGATGAGTGGGGTAGGGGACTGGTTCTTTACTGTCTCTGAGCTGAGTCCACATGCAGCCATGTGACCTCAAGTGTATCCCCCACCTCCCAGAGCATCCTCTAGGGGTAGATTTGGGTTGTCTCTCTGAGGCCTTTCCTGTTGAGTTTGCTGTTTTAGGTACTACTACATAGAACTGTCACTGTAAGTCTGATAATAGAAGTAAGGATAGATAACCTGTAAGGGCTGGGGTGGTGGGGGCAGGATAGGGGATGCTGCCTCTTGCAAAAGGCCACTGACGCTGCAGAGCCCCATTTGCAGGCAGGAGAGATTATTGGCCTCAAGTACTTAGATTATTTTGTTCTATAAGCCAATTTTATTTATTTATTCATTTTTATGTGTATGAGTGTTTTGCCTGTATGCATGTAAGTGCACCTGTGCATACAATGCTGGTAGAGGCCAGAGGAGGGTGTCAGATCCCCTGGAACTTGGGTTAGGGATGGTTGTTAGTCACCATGTTGGTGCTGGGAACTGGATCTGGGTTCTCAGGAAGAGCAGCCAGTGCTCTTATCTGCTGAGCCATCTCTCCAGCCCCATCCTATAATCAATTTTAACAAAAACCCTTCTAGCTGTACCTGTGAGATGGTAAGTGGAGATAACTAAGACCCTACCTGATGCACAGTAGTTGGGAGGACCCACTGGTGACTATACTAAGGCCTGTAAGGCTTGCCTCCCAGGAAATACAGGATCCCTGCCTGCAGGTAGCTTAGCATTTCCATGAGGATGAAATTATTACCTGTTAACAGGGAAGGTGCTGTACTGTTTGCATTGCTATTCTGTGGAAGAAAGAAAAGTGATAACTTTCAAGTTAATTAAGGAGAAATGGATGGAGGATGCAGAATAGTAGGAAATGGTTTTGTGGTACTCCATTTGGCACAAAGAAAACCTCAACAAACAGACCTGCTCCCTCTTCTCTAGGTCCAAGGACCTTAAAAACCCTGGAGCTAGAAAGCAGTAGACTGGAAGCTTCTACAGACTGTAGCACTGAAGGTGATATTTGCAGACTGGCTTTATGAGCGATAACTTCTCCGATCTACTAGGGGCTGAACCCTGGCCTGGTTGCTGAGCTTGTGTATAAATCAACCCTAAGAGGAAACCTACAAGCACAATCAAGGAGCAGGCCTACTCAGTCCTTGGAACTTAGAGGAAGCAAGCCGGAAAGGAAGAGAAAGTAGAGAGCTGGTGCATCTGCTCCTCGCAGGATCTCAAATGGAATAAGACGTGGGATGTAGGGGTAGGGGGAACTCAGATAGGGGAGAGAGATCATTGAAGTCATCACAAACAACCCAAACAAGCTATCTTCATAAATGATTGTGGGTGGCTTCTGGACAAGATCTGGCAGTGTATCTAAACATTTTCTCAGGGAAACAGCAGTTGAAAATGCAACCTGAATAAAGAAGGAAAGAAAAGGAACTGCTGTTTGGTGAGTTCCTCCTGTGGATCCAACTTATTTAATCCTCAAATCAGTCTTTAGGAAGACACTGATGTTGTGTACTTTTGCAGGTGGGAAAACAGATGCATAAGAGATTAACCTTTCCAGTGTCAAACAGCTAGTGTTGGTAGTCTAGGAATATATCCAGACTATATAGAAACGTTTTGTTCTTTAAGCCACTAAACTGTTAACTGCAGTCCTCTGTGCAATAATGTATAATATTGCAATCACAGTTTTTAGTGACTTTAAAAATAGCAGATTACTATAAACACTATAACAAATCCTTTACATTCTTGGCTCTATCATGATTTAGGGCTGTATGTGGATGGGGTCACCTTCTTGTCGGAGCTTCTGTATATCTAGAAATGAGGTTCCCTGAAGGCCCTGATGCTGCATAGGATCCCTCAATCCCTCAAGTGTATTCTTCCTCACTGTTGGCTGGCAGTTTGCATATGCTCAGATGCACCCACCACAGCCAGAGCAGTGCTAAAGCTGTCAGCCTGATCTTTTATCCTGACAACATCCTCTCTGATAACCTTTGTGCTTTTTTTCTGCCCTCTGCCCAAATATCTGTAAGGAGGCTGAATGAATTTCTGTGCTGAGTCCAGCTATAGGCTAGTGTTGTCTCAGCCTTACCTCTCTTTCCATCATTAAAATGCCAAAAAGATAAAAGTTACTTAGCCAGCTTTACAGGGCCAGGACTAAGTGAGTGCCTCATCAAATTTTTTATCTTTTGTGCATCCCTTTCTTTACCTTAGTCCTGGCCCTGCAGCATTAAGTAATTCAAATGTGGATTAGCCACTTCCTGTTTCCAGCTCACAAAAAACAGCTTTCTGCCACCTCTACTCTTCCATTGCCATTACCCTGCTGCCCTAAGACTGGATAATCAGTTAGGGTTTTTTTTTTTTTTTTTTTTTTTTTTTTGTCTTTTTGAGACAGGGTCTTCCTGTAGCCCCAGCTGGCCTGGAACTTGCTATGTATACCAGGCTGGCCTTGAATTCACAGAGATCCGCCTGCCTCTGCCTCCCAAGTGTTGGGATTAAAGGCGTGTGCCACCATGCCTGGCTCAGTTGTACTGCTTTTTAATTCCTAGGATGCAGCCACTTGTCCCTGGTATTCTCTTAATTCTGACAGTGATATTTGTTTTTTAGAGAAGAAAGGGTTTATTTTGGCTTACAGTTCCAGAGGCATGGCAACAAGAGAATGAGGCTGGCCTGGCAGTCTGGGAGCAGAAAGAAAGAACCTTAAAGGAGGTTCCATAACCTTCCCATATAGCACCACTCACTGAGGAGTTGTCTATACACAGCTCCCGTGTGGGACATCTTTTATCCTTAGCTCTCGCACTGGAGAGTGTCATGTGCAAGCTCATGGAAGTTCTTGTTGACTACAAAGCAGGAATTCCATGTTCTGTTCTTTTACTCAGTTTTCTTAAACAGTACAGATTTGCCCTTTTTAAATTCAATTTTTGCAGTTTTCATACAATATAATTTGATAGTATTTAAATCCCCTTCCCTATCCCCATATCCTTTTATTGCCCCCTTCCCAATTTAATGTACTCTATTATATGTATAATAAGGCCTATAGAGTCTAATTTATGTCCCCAAATGTCCTTTTGTGTGGGTCCATCCACTGGAGCCTGGTTAACTTACCAAGTCCCATCCTTGAAAGAGACTCTCTCTCCCCTTCTCAGCAGCCATCTGTTGCCAAAAGTTCCTTAGGCTGGTTTGGTATTTTTTACCCACTTCCTAAGGAAAATATCTTGGATTGGCATTCTGACTTCATGAGTGAAGAATGTGATTGCTATGTGTATTAATTAGAATGTGATTACTATGTGTGTTAATTAGGTACAATCAGAAGAGCAGAGCCTCCAGGACCAAGAATAGTATGTTTATTTTATGGGATTTATTAGAAGCATCTTACTTACATAATTTTGGTAGCTGGTTTAGCAGTCTCCAAGGCTGCACTTTGTGTCCAGTGCTGGAGGTTAGGGCAGACAGTGAGGAATAGAAGGTGGATGGATACATGGGAGCACATGAACAACAGATGGAACCCATGCAGGTGGCCTGGAACCCACACCAGTCTTTCACCAGCTCCAGTTTTGATGATAGTGTATCCTGCAAAAGAAGCTAGTGTCCTTCCTCACAGAGTGAAATATGCATCTGGACCCAGGATTAGAAAAGCTGCAAGAAGATCCCAGGGAAGTTGGAGCAGCTGAAGACCTGGCTATAGGCTGACTGTTTCCCCACACCAAGGTGAGCCAGCAGATTAATGACAGCATGTGTGAACTGCACCAGCACCTGGTACCCCTGCACCAGCCTTCCAGGCATAACTATAATGTGTGTGTAGCTGCTTCTCTTGTGCCCTCCAGCTATCAGGCAAAATGTCTCTCTCCTAAGCAGAAGCATCATCTAGCCAAGATAACACATTACAACACCACCCTGCTGTCATTCAGCTCTCAAAGGTCTCATCGCTCACCTGAGGATAACTTTCCAAACTACATTGCTGAAAATGCAAAGCTGACCCACCATGGATTTCATGCTGATCCCAGCAAGTAAAGAAATCCTGTCAAGCTCGCCCAGAACAGTCTCACTGGTCTCAGCTGTATCTGTGTCATTTGCCCAAGTATTGGAAACTTGGCCCATAGTAGGCACTGTACATAATACTGAGATAGAAATGCAGTTTTATTAAATGCACCAATAGTATTACAAATGATGAAAGGATCTTCAAATTTATCATGGACTTTGATGCCGAAAATACAGAATGCAGAAAACCGTGGAGGCCAGTCCTTCTGTGAACTTTGTTGAGACACTATAGGATTTGAAAACAACTTCATAGTTTCTATCTCTAAGCTGTTCTATTTTAAAACTATTTTTAAATGAGTTTTCTTGTCCCATTTACTGGCTTACATGTTTAGTGTTTCTCTTTGATGGGGAATGTTCTGATGTTGGTAACAGTAGTGACTGCTTTAGAGAAACTGGGATAGTGGGTGGCAGGACTAGTCAGTTCTTTCATTTCTCAAGGCATCAGATGGGTGGCTAAAGGCTGAGGTTCTGTGCTTGTGGCCCATGACTTGCAACTTTCTGTAAGGGCCCACCAGGCCCCTGGTTGAGAAAACCCTTGGCTCCTTAACCTGGGTAGATTCCTAATGCTGGGCCAGCTTCCCTGGGGCAGGACCTCTGCCCAGTGTACAAGCCTGTTCCATGGAGAAGTCCATTCCACTCTTCAAAAAGTTGTGTAATAGGCAAAACCAAGAGTTCCATTAGGGAGTGTATCAGGTTGAGTGCTCAGCTGTGTAGTCTCAGGCTGTGATGGCTGAGGGCAGCTGGCTGCTTGCCTTTTAAAGGGGGTGTCTTCCCCAGTCCTTCCAGGGGACTCAAGGGTGTGAAGCTGGCAGCCCTAATCTCTAGGGCTTTTTGCAAACCCTGCCCAACGAATTATCAATTCTTATCAATGGAGGGTACGTGTGCTGGGGATGATTTGGCTGAGACCCACCTTCAGGCTAGCACTTGTTATGGGACAGATAACACCAGGAGATGCAGGAAGCAAGCTGCAGTTTTAGCCCAGAGAGACTTCCTGTCTCAAAGGTCTGAGCCCCAAAGGGAAGTAGCACATATCTTTTATACCTTGGGCATTGGGTTACAGTGAGAAGGAAACTTACATATTGATTGGCTATCAGTACAGTCTCAAAATTAGGCAAATTACTATAAATTTAGGAAACGTTTTAAAAAAATCTTCTGTCTGAAAATCATTGCAGAAGTCTTCATCTGAGACAAACAGAATTGAGGGAGTTTAATCAGGACACAAGGCCAGTGGTCCTAGCTAGCCAGCTGGGTTAGGATCTAACCACAAACTTGCCAACTGAAATTTGCTGACAGAGGGAGAAAAGGATTAAAATCCATATTTTTCTAAAATATTTCATTTAACTACATCAGAGCTGTTCCGCAGGTCACTGTCCAGGGAACCCGGACGACCTCCTAATGTCTTTCTTTTTTGTTTGTTTCAGGCTACATAAACTTAGCAGTAAATGAAAATGAGTATTTTACTGAACTACAGTTGAAAGAAGAAATATTATAGGAGAGAAAAACAGCATTATTAAGAGAAGACATTATTTTGTGACTGAAAAGCTGAACCTGCAAATCAGGAAATGGAATCCATATCTAGAAATGTACCATGTAGAAAATCTGGAGTGGGAGGGTTACAAATAATTAAGAACACAATTTGCAGTAAATTGGGACCTTAAGAGGATACACACAGTAATTGCACTTGGATTACTAGTATGATCTGTTATTCTGTGCTTGCTCCCACTTTAGAACAGGGGTACCAAAGTAGCATTCTTAATTGGCTTTTAAGTATTAGAACTACAATCATGTTGTCGATGAAAAAATAAACTTGTGGTTCCCACATGTGCTGAGGACCCCAATTCATTTCCCTGAACTGTGTTGCCAGTTCAGCCTGGGATCCTGATTCTCAAGAATTGATTATCTGACCTGATTCACAACCTGGCCTTGGTCCACTGGTACCCCTCCGTTCATTTTTATGTGTCCAGTTGAATCAGACCACTGCCCTATCAGCTGGTCTGATCTGCCTCCTTCTAACGGTAACCCAAAGTTCTAACTAGTACAGTAGGAAGATTTTGTTCACAAATATTACTGGTTGGGTAGCTTGCTAAATAAAGCACTTGGGCTCTTTGTTTAAGCCTTAACTTCACTGTAAAATAAGGCTAATTATACCTGCAGTTTCTCTAACCTTGTAAGATATTTGTCAGCCTCAAAGGTTGTATCTGAAAATACCGTGAAAATTGTAAAGAACTACACAAGTATATGGTTGTCCTGTGGTTATTGTCGTCATCAAGAATAACTCAGACCTGGAGAGTGGTGGCTCAGCAGTTAAGTAAGCACTGGCTGCTCTTACAAAGGACCCAGGTTTGGTTCTCAGCACCCACCTGGAAGCTAACAACTGTCTATAACACCAGTTCCAGGAGATCTGATGCCCTTTTCTGGCCTCCACAGACATTGCATGCATGTGGTACACTTACATGCAGGTACACTCATACACACAAAAACAGGTAGTGTTAAATTCCCATATAGTAGCCACTATTGTGCTTTTAGATCAGTTATAGCCTATAAAGCCTATAAATTGCTTTTTTTTTTTTTTTTTTTTTGAGACAGAGTCTCCCTGTAGCCACAGCTGGCCTAGAACTCACTGTAGACCAGGATGGCCACAATCTTACAGAGATCAGCCTGTCTCTGCCTCTCAGGGGTGCTGGGATTAAAGGCCACTGAGCCCGGATTTGTTTTTTTGTTGTTTTTTAAGACAGGGTCTCTAGCCCCAGATCGCCTAGAACTTGCAGTGTAGACCAGGCTGGTCTTGGTCGCAGAGAGATCTGCCTGTTTCTGCCAAGTGCTGGAATACTGGGATTAAAGGCGTACGCCACCACTTCCAGCCGTAAATAGCATTTTGACACTAGCGTTTGTGTTTTTATTTGAGGAAGAGGGGAAGGGAGGAGGTGTTCCTGCCTGGGGCGGGGTAATGGGTGGGTGCAGTGATGACGCTGGTTCCTCTGCTGCTGGAACCTAGTACAGCGTGCTAAGGGGTGACCTAACGACTTCGCTCGCCCCGCCCATCTCTGCGCTACTGCTGTGCTGGAGGCACCATGGCAACCAGACTTCTGCGTCTTCTGAGAAGCCAGCCAGCTCCTCTGTACGTTGTGGTTTCCTAGTCCTACCATCCTGACGAGACGTGAAGATGTACAGCCAGCGCTTTGGCACAGTCCAGCGGGAAATTAAGGGCCCCACTCCCAAGGTGGTGCTCATGGTAAGTGCAGGATGTTTGTGCTGATCCCTATGGCTTTCTTCTTTTCCTCCTGCTCTAAGCCTAGCGGAGCCCAACCTGGCCGCGTTTTTTGTGTATTTATTTTTATTTTTATTTTTTCCTGTTCCAAAGCAAGTTCCTGGTGCAGCAGGTTTTGAGGAAAACAAGATTGTTGCTCGCCTATCTACCCTTCCACTCATCTTCTTTTAACCTCCAGTGATAATACTAAGAATTTCTATATGGCTAATCACTTGTGATCTTGGGGCTTTTCGTTATCCCACAAACCAGTAGGAGATCTGTCCCTTTGCAGTGAGCAGTGGGGTTTGGATTGTCATGAATCTGGAGGCAGATTCCGGATCTGTGCTGACTCTACTTCAGTGGTATCACCTTGGATTGGTCTTGTGACTATAGGAAAACTGTAGAATAGGAATTGGGCCTTAAGACTGTGTGAGGTAATAGAACCTTTTCTACGCCCTACTCAAAAGTGCCCCTTCAGACCTGGAAATAACCAAGAGGTTGCTTCCAAATCTGGACTAGTAATAGAGGACCAGAAGAAACTTATTTGCTGCACTTATCCATGGGTCTGGATTCCTTTGTTTCTACAAACTAGTTTCTACAGATCAGAAAATCAGCCATGTGTAATCAGTTACTGCTTGAACCCCTGCTGTATGTATAGTACTGAAGACTATACAAGGCTAAATCCAGTGACACGAGGAGTATTCCCCTTCAATAAAAACCTGGTCTAGGCTCTTGTTGCAGTAACAGCTTGCTCCTAAATCAACTATTTAGAGTGGATAATAGGTTTTATTCTCTGTAATGGCAATTTGTGGAAGAAAGATCAAGGCTAATCAAGAATACAGTTGTAATATGACCATAGTACACATAGCAAGTTTCAGTCAACTTACAGACCTTCCTCTTCTCCAGGTCCAAGAATTATAGAATCTGGATCTGCATAACAGTAGACTGGAAACTGCTTTGGGCTGTTGGGTCCAAGATGATGTCTGAGGGACAGAAACTGATCTACTCTTGGGTCCTGTATCAAAATACAGCACTCAGGAGCCAGGTCATTTGTTGGTGACTGTTACTTATGCTCATAACTAATAAGAAGCAGGGGGAAGAAAAAGTATATTTCTAAAACACAGATTCAGGCCTATGGAATACTATATGTTGATAGAAAAAGAGGAGAAGCTAGAGTTGGTTTTCCTCAGGCATCTAAGTGTGATAAGGCATTAGAGATAACAGTTTATAAAACTTAAATCCTACAATTTCCCTAGGAGAAAGCAATTAAAATGGTGATGTGAGTGGCCCACAAGGAGGACATTGGTTTTTTTCATTTGACAGAAAACCAAGACTCAGATTAAATAACTTGCTCAACACAGTAATGAGTAGAGGCCAAAATCAAACCTAAGATGAAGTCGTTGTTCTTTAAAATATTAATCTGAGCTGTTACAGTAACAAATTCCTTCAATGTTTGTCAAAATGCAGGGTTGTTAGCAAATCCTGTTTCCCTCCTTTAGTACAGTTTAGAATGTCAGTGCCTAGTATGGTAGCTAATAGCCACACAACAGTGTTTGACTTCTGGAAATGTGTTGAAAATACCTAGCGTTACATACTGAGAGGGAAATATTATGGATATATTGGATAAATAAAATACATTATCAACATTAAATCTCAGCCCGCATGTCTACTGGGAGCCTGAATTCTTGCTGTGTATACTGTCCAAATGTCTCTGCTTCAGTGTTACAGAATCTACATTCATAAAATACCAGAAGTATTAGAGAACTTTAGCTTAATTAACTGACTCTAATAACTCCAAACAATTTTGATATGAATTTGATACATCTCCTCGTATACTTCCTAACCTTGCCTTGGGTTTCTTCTCTACCTCAGGATTGCCTCATCTTGTTCAGCTACATCTAGGTGCATATATGTACACCCCAAGCCTATCTTTAGCTTTTCTCATTGGCCTATCTTTAGATGTTGGTTTTCTGTCCCTTTGCTACAAACACCAAACCTTAGTATCTTGTAATTCTGACACTGATGTTCTAAATGTAATTTATCAGATTTATTCTACTTCATGAGTTAGGAGTTTTGTTACTATGACTCAGCACCCAGGTTATCACAGCTCGCCTGAGGATAATTAGATAAAACTGCTGCTGCAAATACAAAGTTTAATTGATTTCATGATGGCACCAGGAGGTACAGATACTGAAGTCCACCCAGAAAGACTCATTTGTTCATTCATTCATTGATTCAGTGATTCCATCATTCATATTGCGAACCTGATTGTGGGAGGAATTAGGCTCAATGCTAGGACTACAGAAATGAGAAATATACAGTCTGTAAGATTTCATTAGTGTACCGGTACATATTCCAAATGTACATACACTTCCAAGTTGTACATGACCATCGTGTAAAGATAATTCATTTGCAGATATTGAAATTACCCCCAAATGTCAGCAGCATAGCCTTTGCATTCAAACTTTTGGAAACCAATCAAACAAGAAAGAAGTTCTACTATCAGCCCCCTTCTCCCATTTTTCTTTTCCTTTCCTCCCTCCCTCTCTTCACATCTTCCTTGCTTCCTGGCTTTTCATTGTCACATATATATTTACATATATAGGTAAATAGCAGCCCTTTTTCACTGAAAATATTCTGATGGTAATAATTATGATGTTTACTGTTAGGGTTTGGATCTGCAGCAACACCCTCCCCAGTGCACCAGGGCCTCATGGTTTTGTATTTTCCTCTGAAAATACAGGAACTAAGTTAATGAGCACCGTGACTATCTGTAGACAAGATAAACAAACTCTCTACACCTTTGACCCAAGACCCAATTGCTGCAAGAGCTGCAGCACAGCCTGCTTCCCCTTTGATAATTTTAGAAAAGAAGCAGACCCCTTATCCCATGACCCAGATTCTAGCTGACTTAAGGGGGCAGTTTGACAGAGACTGTTCTCTCCTGATAAGTCCTGGATGCTCTCTCTCTCTCTCTCTCTCTCTCTCCTAACTTGTTTAAAAATATTTTCCCACTTTCTGCAACCCCCAACCACCCTATAAAAGCCCCTAACCAGCAGCCTATAGACTGACAGCTCCTCCATCCCAAATTGTGGACTGTCCTGTGTGCTTTCTCTGCCAATAAACTCTACCCTGCTAGAGTTCTTGTCTGGGTCCTGGTACCTTCTCCCGATTGACTCGATTTACCTATCATTTACACCTTAGAAGAAATATAGGTCACAAGGTCAATGTTGAGAAGGCCCCTAATTCTTATCATAAGGGACTAACTACCCTGTTCGAAGCACTTTCAACACAGCACTCTTGTCTGGTTGACTAAATAATTTCTAGAGCCTGTTCAAATTTTAACTAATAATTACATCTTTTATTCAAAGGACTTTTCTGTTTCAAAAAAAAGAGATGATCTACAACTCATAATTTGACTTAAAATTTTTTTAATTGTTATGATGATATAAAAGTGATAGGCATTTAGTAGGCTGTTCTTTATCATTGGAATCTGGATCTTTTCTTGGGCTGGCAGTATACAGCATGATACTCTCAAGATGCTGGGTGGGGCATTGAGCTGCAGCTTCCAGACCAGTACAAGAAGGATCATGAAGCTGAGTAACAAACACTTTACGGTGTCTGTTCCACTTGGTAGATTAGGTATATTAAATGCATTTGTATTAACATCTTTTGTTTACGATAGGTTTATCAGAATTTACCCCATCGCAAATCAAGGAATGTCTGCATTTGAGACTGATTTAATGAGTATTAAACTCAGTGAATCAAACAAGTTATTCTTTAGATGCTTAGGCTGTTATCATTTGTAACAGGATATATTAGGGTTTATTTTTCTATCCAATTTGATTTAGTATAAGTATTGGTAGAGGTCAAGATTAACTGAAAATAGGTTATTGGTTTTTTGCTTATTACAAATGATCATTGTTTGTTCTCAGAGAGCCAAGCCTTCCAAGTCTCAAGGGGCTGAACAACATCTGAAAAGAATCCAGCGCAGCTACCAGAAGTATCATACTACTTTGGCTTCCATTAAGTCAAATGAGCAGGATCGCCTGAATGTTGACTGGATCCAGCACAGTGACCGCAAGTATTTGAGCAGTCTTGTGCAAGCAAGAATCAAGGATGGCATGCAAGCATTTATCATCAGCACTGAAGAAAGACGTAATAAGTATGCCTCACAAACTTTTTGGTCCAGGCACTGAAGCACTCCTGAAATCACTTTTTATTTCTATTGAGTCCTAGGGATCAATACCAGGGTTCCCCATATGCTAGGCAAGTTCTCCGTCACTGATCTATGTGGCCTTAGCTCACTAAATTACAATTTTTAAATATTGGACATCAAAAAATCAAATATAGTAAAGGTCATGGCTAAGTTTTTCATATTTAAAACAATAGCTATTATTTGTTAATATCTTTACTTATATTAACTGCATTTTGATGGAAAAGAAAATATATTGTTTTATATTTCATTTCTTTAAAATCTGTCAAATAACAGTTTTAATAAGTAATTGAGTTTTTTGTTTCAGACTACGTGAACTTTTAGCATCAGAAGAAAACATGTATTTTACTGAAATGCAATTGAAAGAAGAAACTATTGAAGAGAAAAAAGACAGAATGAGAGAAAAAACCAAATCATTAAGAGAGAAGAAAGAAAAAGAGAGGCAGGATTTTGTGGCTGAAAAGTTAGACCAGCAATTCAGGTAACAAAATTGGAAAAGGATGCAGAGTATTAGCATGGGGTTGTTAAGTGCACTAATAAGGAGATGATGATACCGTAGCAACAGCAGTCCAGGAAAGGAAGCTGATACGTAATTCCTTTCAGGAATGAGGACTTTGAGACCATTGTTAGTTCTTGAGGTGAGAGGAAGAACATTAGATAGAAAATGGTACAATACTGGAAAACACAATGGAGGCCTTAGAGGAAAGTGGAGGCTTCCCTTTAAAACATGGAGAGGAGGGCTAGAGGGATGGCTCAGTGGTTTACAGCCCTTACTGTAACTTTTTTTTCCAGAGGACAGAGTTCAGTTCCCAGCATCTAGGTTAGAAGACTCAAAACCATGTGTAACTTCAGCTCTAGAGGATCCAATGCCCTTTCCTGGCCTCCATGGGCATCTACATGCACATGCACAGATATACATGCATACACATAAATAACTAAATCTTAAACCTGTAGAGGAGCTTCATTAAGAGTGACAATAAGGGAAAGAGAGAGAAAAAGAGAGGTGTCCTGGGAGATGGATGTGGAGAGGAGGCCAGAGGAGCCTTTTCAGAGAAAATACCCAGAGCAATCCCAGGAACAAAGGAAATATCAGACTTTTGTAAGTCTGACAGGAAGTTTCACATCATGTGATTTTGTTCAACATAGCATATGAGCATGGAAGAGCCAGGTATCCTAAGTTAAGAATTATCAAGTAATAGCACAGTCTGTTTCCTAATTCTCTGTCTGAGAAGGAGGCAGGAGGGGAGGGGAGGGGAGAGAGGAGAGAGGAGAGAGAAAGAGAGAGCTACAGAAGAATGACCTGATCTCTTCAGACAGTGGTGTCTGGCCTGTTTAAGAGTGACCACTGTCTTAAAGGGCAAGGTCCATGTCCTAACTGGTGCATTCAAAAAGATTTAAGAATTCTAACTTACAGTAAGTTATAATGTCAGAAAGGGTATAACACATTAATCATACTTTAAATCTTGGTAATAATATAGATCACTGAAAATACTAATACTGAATTGGTTTGAAAACCCTGCTCTAGTGTTCTATGCTTTCCTCCCATTAGAGTGGAGGTGCCAAATAAGATTTTGGTACTGAATATTATCTATTACATTCAGTGTTGCTGTTGGCAACAAGTTTTTTTGGATTTAAAAAAAAAATTTTTTTTCTTGTTTTTGTTTGAAACAGGGTCTCCCTGTAGCCCTAGCAACTTGGAACTTGCTTTATAGACCAGGCTGGCCTTGATCTCACAGAAATGCACCTGCCTCTGCCTCCCCAGTCCTGGGACTAAAAGTGTGCGCCATCACACCCCAGCAGCAACAAATTCTTTTAAAGCATGTCTCAGGAAGTCTTCGGTAAAGTTGATCTGCCCCCTGCTGCTATAGTTTTCACTTGTGTGAAATTGGTGCCAGGTCCCCTGTTCATCACTGTCTGATTATTGCCTGATATCTTGATCCTTTCTGATTACTGAGACTTTTGATCCATTTTCTGACACAGACCACAATGACCCTTCATTTTCAAATCCATGGGCTTCACTGTACTCAGTCTGATCCAGTGGCTGTCTCCATATGTCTTCTCACTTTTGCCTTTCCATCTTCAATATTCATCTGATTTCAGCCCAACCCCATTCATACATGCACTTATAGTGGAAAGATTTTAAGGGAAGTATCCATCCTCTGAAATGACCTATTTTTGCAACCATCTATACCTATTTTGCAATCATCTATAGCTTGGCAGATGCTTTTAACTTAATAAACTAAGGTAGATTCCTTACATCTAAAACGTGTGTGTGTGTGTGTGTGTGTGTGTGTGTGTGTGTGTGTATCTTAGTTAGGTTCAGCTGTCAGCTTGGCACAGCCTAGAGTCACATGAGAGGAGAAGAAACTGAGGGGTTTCCCAAATCAGATTGGACTGTGGCCATATCGGTAAGGAATTGTCTTGACTGATGATTGCTGTTGGATGTCCCAGTCCACTGTGAATGGCACCATCCCTAGGCAGGTGGGCCTGGGCTGTATAAGGAAGCTAGCAGAAAGCAAGCCAGAAATGATCCAGTAAGCAGCATTCCTCCTTGGTTTCTGCTTCAAGTTCTGACCTTCAGTTCCTGCCCTCAGTGATGGATTGTGACCTCAAAATATAAACTAAATAAACTCTTTCCTCCCTCTAAGTTGCTTTTGGTCAGAGTGTTTATCACAACAATAGAGACAGAATAATATGTGTATGTATGTGTACATGTTTAAACACTGAGTATGTTTAAAAACAAACTCAGAAGGAAGTTGAGGATCATTTTATGAGTTTGAGAGCAAAACAACAGTATAGGCAAGCTGAAAATCCCAGCGGCCACCAGGAGGAGCGGAAATGGAGGAAAAAATTCATGCCTTTTAAGTTATCCATGGAGGTCAGAGAAAGTGAGAAAGCGTAGAGTGTCAGGGACAAATATGCTTAGGAGCACTGAGCCACAGATCGAAGTTCCATGGGCATTCATTCCCAGACTCTTGTGTCCTAGGGCAAAGAATTGCACCACGGATTCATGATTAGAAATAGAAATACAGGCAACTTTTTAAGAAAGGAAAAACCTCTCAGGAGGTTTTTTTTTTTTTTTTTTTTTTTTGCACATGCTCTATTCGTTAGATGAAGCCCAGGTATGGAAGGGCTTCTAGTCTTCCTCTGCAAACTGGCATCTTTTATATGTTAATCTTGGTGTTGTTTCCAGACCCTGTTTTCCCTGCTGTTTTCTACCACTGAGCTGTATCCCCAACCCTAAAGCAAAGATACCTGAGAAGTCCTTGTGATTTAAATTTCTTCCTAGAGCTATAGTTTTAAGAGTAAGGCCATATAATTAATATTCCTCAGTTATATATACTGCCTCTTATACTTTTAAGAGATGGACATCAACAATTGCTATCATGGGACTGGAGTGGCTTAGCAGTTAAGAGCCATGTACTAGACTTACAGAGGACCAAGTTTGGCTCCCAGCACCCACATTGGGCAGTTCACAACCATTTGTAACTCCAGTTCCAGGGGATATAACACCCTCTTCTGGACTCCATGGGTACCTGTATTCATGTGTATATACTCCCACACAGACACACATATATACATAATTTAAAAATAATATAAATAAATCATAAAACAATTGCTATCATATTTCTCAGCTGGCTTCATTTTGCCCCCTTTATTCATTCAAGTCCTTTAATGTAGCTGAAGGTCATATGATGTGATTATCAGCTACGCTGGCCATTTATTTTTAAGGTAACTGATAAGATTTCAATCCCCAGAAGGGATTTTTAAGCTTAAATGTTACCTGGACCTGTTTAAAATATAGCCATTAGCATTTATTTATTTGTTTATTTATATTTTTAAAACATTTAAAAAATATTTAATAACCACATGATTAGAAGAAGCAAACATTTCATTACAGCATTAATATATTCAATAGCAATTTCCAGAGCAAAGATACATCTCTTTCAAAATTGGCTATAATTTTTAGGTTCACAGATGAATTAATACAGTAATACAATATTGAACTCAGTATAAACCCTATAAGACGTAAAATTGAATGAGGGTTTAACCTTTAAAAAAGATCTCCATTTCATTTTAAAATATACTGTTTCATAAAGAAAAACTCATTTTTAATCCTACTAATACTTAGATGTTTGCACATGTGTCTCTAATCTCTATGTATCTGATTATTACTAGTCACAGTCAGTTACTTTCTGAAATCCTTGGCACCTGAGCATGAATATAAAGTTATCAGGTGGATTTCAATGGTACTGTTTTTCACCTCTACAAATTAACATGAAGCAAATTTTTATGCTTCTTCCTCAAATATGACTCATTTTATTATTTGTTGATTTTTGTGTGTGTATTTCCTACAGAACATCCCAAACAATCTTATTCATCTATATACCCACATCCCAAATGGCATCCTCCCACAGTATCCCCCCACCCCCCGGAGCCCATATACTCTGTCATCCCTGTTACTGTCCACTGTGTTATCAGTGCCCCCAGCCATTCCCCAGTGCTTGTCCATCCACTGAATCTAGTCACCCTATCTAGAGTTTCTTGTTTTAGGGAGATCAGCTCTTCCTCATCTAGTAGCAATCAGTTGCCAGTATTCCTTTAGATAAGATTAGGGTCTGCTGTTCATTTTTCCAGTTCTATGCTGGGTTGCTGTCC